TTTTGAGACAAGTTCAGTGATGATCAGTTTCTATGGTTAAGAGGTATGACGTAATAAGTAGCAGGTGGTCAAGCCGTTTTGAGTGAAAACGTATGTTTTTTATCAACTTTTTTCAACAATAAAAGAACAATCTTGTTGCTAAAATCATGCAAAGTGTTTATTTATGTGTTATTATTCATGTTAAGCAATTACCATTTCTCGCTGTTTTAACCTGATTTCTAATTCTTCGTAAAATCCAAGATAGCGACAAAGAATGCGACCATTGTTAGTAACGTCACAGGCCTTCAGCAGCGCCACCATTCATAAAATATACCTCATCTTGTTGAAAAGATCAAAGGCTTTTCAGTGAAGGCAAAATCGCTTAGGAATTCTGCAACATGTCAAAAACTCTGGGGAGGGGTTCCATCTACCATCCTCTTGTACCATGGTGGGGGGTATGATTTTGCTTGTACTTCCGAGGGTTAAGTTGGCAAGGTAGTGGTTGGTCACTTGTATAAGATTACACTTTTTCATTGGAGCTTCTTTTATAGTACACACTAAGGGCTGGTATTGTGTCACGAAAGGCAATATTTCTTTTTCTTCCTTGCCGTTTTGTTTTAGGGGCGCTGCTTTCCTTCTGTGAGTTTTACTTCTAATAGCAATTTTTCTTTCAAAATTGTGTGGTCAACCTCTGTCCATCAACCGCTTTTTGAAATCTGAAATACTTCCTCAGAGGAGTTTGTTCGCAAGATTCTCAAGGCTTCTTGTTTGTCAAATCCATTTTAACAATTGGTGGGTAGTAAGAGGTGAAAATGTGTATACTGGAAGGTTTCCGTTTAAAATGCGTCTTTACGTCAATGACAGCTTTTTCTCATTTTTCGTTGAATGTTGTGCCAGCCTGTATACAACCGGCCAAAAAGATTGTCTCAGTGTCAGATATTTCGGCCGCAAATTTCATAGCCAGTACAGCAGTAGGGTGAAGTAAGTTTACTTGTTTCGGGAATTTGAAGAAATCTACCATGTCTGGTTTACTTATGTCCTTTACGCAAAAAATATCATCTATGTAGCTTTTTCAAACACTTGGTTTAAAGACCTTTTTTGCTTAAACTTTGTGTTTCAATATATGCAGTCATGAAAATGTTGGAAAGGAAACTGCTGTATGTGCTCAACGAGGTACCGTGGTTTTTAACTGATAGTGCTTTCCATTAAACTGGAAAGAATTTTCTTTGAGGATTAATCTATTTAAGCATTTCTCGGACCGAAACAAGAAACGTTCAGTTTTTTCACCTTTGTCTTTTCAATAAAATTTATAAAGTCGGTAGCATCTTTAAGGTGTGGCTTCTGTGATAATGATATTAGTTGTAGTAATGTACCCGTATCAACAAAAGAGGAAGTTCTTTCTGTTAGGCCATCTGGTGAGTCATAAATTTAAAGAGGTAACTTCCTAACGGCTGGAAAAAAATGCAACATGCTCTTTTTTCCGAGACAAATATATTGATAATGTCAGCCCATGTCGGTTGTCGGTAATTTTTTACTCATTTTGCCGGTAGTCAGTAACATTTTTCGCCGTTTGTCCCTAGTCGGTTAACCCCATTCACACCCTCATATAAGAGTTTGTTTTTCACTCATTTTCCTACTTATATGAAGAATATGTTTTCACTCCAGTCCTCTTCCTATGATCTTCATGGCAACTACATTCTATCACTAAGTAAACCGAAAACAACTACCTCTGGTCTTAACTCCTTTTCTTACTTTTCAGCTAAGCAGTGGAATGCACTGCCGGACTTTTTTCGTACCAGTTTTTTTGCAGACTTTAAGACCAAAATACAGGATGTTACCTTCATGTAGATTCTTTTTGCCTGACAAACTTAAACTTAAAATTGTGAATTGTAAATAATATTGTCTTTTCTTTCCTTTTTTTATGTGCTTATTATTATTAATATTATTTTATTATTATTTCTTATAATGCATTTAATGTATATATCTATTTCTGTATTATTTTCATGTAGTGTCAGCTCGAAGATATTAGCTTGTTAGCTACTCTAAAATTCGAGTACAAATAAAGTTTTATGTTATGTTATATGTTGCCACATCTCGCTAAACTTGATGTAAATTCTCTTAAGCTTAAGTAGATGGCTTTAAGCAAAGAAATTTCTCTGCACTTTTTCTTTGATTGTTTTAACTAAAAGCTAGAAGCTATTAAGGCAATCACTCTTTTTAATTCTCTTAGATCTGTTATACTACTGCCCAGTCAAAAGGAGATAAGTTATGGAAGCACAAGTAACCGTTGGAACAAAGAGTTAAAAGCGTCATCACAGTTTCAGGTCCTTTTCATCCAAGCAAGGCTGCTTGCATTTAATTGTTTGTGCCATTCGGTAGACGCTGTGCTAGAGAAAAAAAAACAAATCATAATCATAATCCAGGAGCAATTATCATAATAATAATAAAAATCATCTAGAGTCGTCGGGTCTAGTTTGCTCTGCTTGACTGCTTTCAATCATGATAAATAGTGCTTATCAGCAGCTTGAATTGAAGTGGGATATAGATTAGACTTGTGTCCATGCAAATCACTAGAAATTCGGCCCTTTTTGGAGCAAAATAAACCAACGACCCGAAAGATTAACTTTGACAAGGGTGGAACTACTACAAAGGACCACAAAGCGTGATTGTAGCGGCTCGAAGACTGAGGCGTAAACACCTGTTAAGATCCCACAGTTCTTAGTATTAAAGAATCATGTTTTACGGTCATTTTATAATTTTAATCCTAGTGGTATGTAAATCTTCTATTCAGAGGCCTTTTTTTGGGCAAGGATAAGTGGAGTTTTATCTTTATCTTTATCAAGAAACAGATTGGCAACGTTGAAGCCAAAACTACACGTTAGAAATCAGATGCATATAATCACTAGCTCGTCCTTGGTGACATTTCCTTGCCAACATGTGTAGATACTACAGAAGGAAAGTTTAATCAGGCCTTTTCAAATTTATCCCAGGCCTTTAATCATTTAAAGTAAGCTTATGAAGTATCTGGAAGGGGTTGCTGAGAATAAAATATGTTTTGTTTTAGCACCAAATAGTAACACATCGCAGTAACTCCCTCCCCCCAAACAGTGTAATCTAAAAGAGTGACTTAAATTATTAGTAAGGCTATATGAGATTGTTTAGAGACCCTTGTGTACAGCACTCTGTGGTGTTAGCCTCCTCGTTAAAAAATTAATTACATTTGACCATGTATTTTTTGTCTTATTCTTGATTGCCTTTTGGTCTGTTTCCCTAAGGCAACTGATCCGCAGTATGATTCTATAAACATTCCCAAAAGGTGAGTAATTAAAAATAACAAGATTCGCTGAGCTAGAAATACCTCATAAAGCTAGGCGTTTGACTACCGTACTGGAAACAGACATAAATTCCACTGCAAAAACATGGCTGTAACTATTTTAAATGTTCTGATAAGGATATCTCTTCTGCACAACGCTGTTGCAACGTTCCCGAAAGCCAACCTTTATCGGAACCTAAAGCAACAAACTGCCTTTGGGAATTTTCAACTATACCAACACCAGAAGTTAGTAGGAACTAAGATCGCCTCTTCCCTTGTTTCAGACATAATTGACTGCACGTTCAACTGTGTAAGTGAGACCCTGTGCAAATCGTTTAACATCGCGGCCAGTCCTGACTCTGAAAATCTTTATTTGTGCGAATTGCTAAACATCGACAAACATAGAGTTTCTATAGATAATCTTCAAGTGAATCTCGCTTTTAATCATTACAGCCCTTGGGTAAGTTGAATGTTTTAGTTTTTCTAATATGCTACATTGTAAAGCTGAGTAACTCAAACCTGCAAATGAACGTGTAAACAATGATGGCTTCTAGAATGAAGAACTTGAAAGAGATCCATTACGAATGCTTTTAGTAATTTAGGATCTAAATATGTCAGCAATTCTCTTTTACGTTGATGAAATTATCCCACTGTTATTCCTTTGTCCCTATTTATTGTAAGAAAACTTGCTCAATTTCACATTGTTTTATTGGTTTGACTAAATTCTCTACTCGCGGTTCCCTAATTAAATATTAGTGATGATAAGTTTTTCAGAGACTTTACCATGCAAATTAACCCACTGAAAATCGCAGCTTTACTCAAATCCAGTGGCGCCACTATCAAAAAAGCGACGCAGTAGAGCCCCGAAAAAAAAATTGCAGTAAATACAAGAATGCAGTGGTGGAACGCGTCACCTTAAAAATCAGCGGTCTCAACCTTTATGATCAATGTTTTTCCATCCAACCAACCATTTCTAAACTAGTACTGGTGAAGAAAGTCTAATGTTCGGAAAGTTGAGAAAGATGGTTATCCAGTCAGTGACAGAGATTCGATTCCTATTGGGAGAACTCGGAATTTTCACTTCTTCACAGAGCCAACTTGTCATTCATGTCAGATTCACCAGGCTTAAAACTCACCATCGCTTTTCTATCATTGCCCGAAAAATTGTATTGTTTATTTAAAAAATGAACTCAGTTGATAAAACCAAAACTTACATGTGCAAAAGTTAATAGGGTGCAGTCGCTAACTTTGTTTTCACTTCGTTTACCCATAGTATCCGTGCCAGCCAGGATTAGTTGGATTTAACTGCGATCGTCAAGGTAAAGCATCGGAGATCGGAGAATTCTCCGTCTACTACGCATAATACTCCGGCTAAATTTCAATGAAGTTATGGCCATTTTTTATTCAGACGAATAAAACGTGAATACGATATGTTAAAAGAAATTATTCCCAGAAATGCGTAATTTTAATGCCTAGCCACTTGCTTTACATTCCTAAATAGATAACAAATACATAAAATACCTTACCTAAATGATAGCAGTTTTAAGCCCAATAAAACTAACAGGGGACGTGTAAAATATTAGACGGTTTTCTGAAGCGTGGAGAGTTGACTGTATGCTAGATGCGTTTTTGTTTGCACGTGAAAAATTATTACGAATAAATACTAATGAAACAAAACTACCTATCTTTCCGAAAGCCTATATTTATTCAATTATTATGCCGCGCATTGAAAAACTGGGCACTCATAAGTACTTGTTGCAATTAAAGACTATAGCATTCTGGGAGATGAAAGTCATGGTGACGTGTGCAGCAACATTGACGTTACCATGGAAACCGAGGATTGACAGCAGTGTTTAAAAAATGTGCATTTTTTCCTTTAAAAAGGATTTATACTGGTTTTAAACAAAATGAAATAGATTTAATTTATTCAAAATGGCGAATCCAAGGTGACGGATGATTCTAGTTCCTTCTTTAAAATAACCTGAGATCAGGCCCAATTTGAGCGGTTCTCATACATTCTCTCTACCGGCTACCGCTAAAATTGGGCCTGATCCAAACTCATTCACGTTTGTGCTCGTTACGGCCAGATTTTGGCCGTAACGCTGATTGGCTGTTTGAACAATGCCACAAGATCTGATTGGCTGTCGGAAACGCCGGAAGTTGAAAGTGCTTATTCCTCGCGTGGTTTATTCGTGAATGATCCGTCGTCGGCGGAGAGAAGGATCGATTTTGCTGTCTTTTTTATTGTTTTATGGTCTTATGGTAGGAAAATATGCCTTAATATGTGCCATGGAAATTCAGAAAATTCATATGGTTGTTCATATCTTCTCAGCATTTGCTTTATTTACGGAAAGTGAGTGTATCGCGGAGTTGAATCCCTCTGCAAGTTGTTGACCGCTAACAAGGTACCTTGTGATTTACCAACAAACGGGTGCAAATCAAAATACTATTCATCTTAAAACTGGTTTCATTTGAAAGTTTAGCCGGGAATGACTTCTCTGAACGGGGTACGCGAGCGGAGGCTCACTGCGAAAGAAACCTCCATCGCCAACTGTGAAGTATTAGACGAAAAATATCGCATCGCTGTTCGGGAAATTTCAGTGTTAACAGACTGGTTGTTAAAAAATAAACCAGGAAAACTGGTGTCCTCGCTCGTTGGCTTTTTTTTGTTTGTTTTTAACCTTCGAGATCTCCCTTAATCTCGCACGAAGCTAAATGTGATTGTGCTGACTGTTTTATTTTCAGCTGAAAAAAATAGGAGATAAAAGCTATTTTTTAAGTCAGCCATTCTGCATTTTTCCCACGCGTGAAAAATTTGCATACTAGAAAAACAAGCAACGGAAGTAATTTTGGTTGGCTGATTCGGCAAATGTCAATGAATCAAAAAACTGGGCGGCAGACGTTTCGTAGAAGGTTTGTATCAGGCTCTCTTTTCGTTTCGCCATGCCCGCCAGAATGTTATTTACAAAAGCGAAACGAAAATAGAGCCTGATCTCAGGTTATCTTTAAAAATAAACGACGTCATCATGATATCCCTGCTTTTTGTAAAGTTCATTAACGTCTTAGCGAACTTCTTGATTTTGATTATTTTTCGCTTTAAGGGGAAAAACTGATGGAATTTATATTCTGCCAGTAAATTCAACAATATCACTGGCACTATCACTATCAGCATTATGGTGCTCTCCTCTTCAAAGTTTCCTTACGCTCTTTCTTTCCATTACTAACAACAGTGATGAACTTCGAAAAACTGACTGAAAAACAAGTTTCAGTCGTTTTCTTTTTTAACTCAACCCCCCCCCCTCCCCCCCAACCACCACCACCGGTACCACCCCCGCTTCGTTTGAACTTTCTGTCCAATATTTCTCACTGTTTGATTATTATCACTTTTGTCCATCAAGGAAAAACATGCAGTGAAATAAAATCGCACAGTCCACAAGCCACAAGTGGTTCTTACGTTATTGATCCTGATGGTGAAGGAGGCTACCAGCCTTTCAGCGTCTTCTGTGACATGACTGACAAGAACAGAGTTGGCGTGACAGTCGTTGGTCATGACAGTGAAGATAGAATTTTGGTGAAAGGATATGAAGCTAAAGGAAGCTATGTGCGTAATGTTGTTTACATAGGAGCCAGTGTTACTCAGTTAGCTGCCCTTGCAACTAACTCAACAAATTGTGAGCAGTTTATCAAGTACGAATGTTACCACTCCACGCTTCTCATTTATGGATACGGTTGGTGGGTATCACGTGACAACATTAAAATAAGGTACTGGGGTGGTGCAACGCCGGCTGATTCGAACAAGTGCGCATGTGGGGTGACGAATTCATGTGTGGTCAGCAGTAGAGGATGCAACTGCGATAAAAATGATGCAATATGGCGCGAGGACAGCGGCCTTCTTACTGAAAAGTCTCACCTTCCCGTCACACAATTAAGGTTTGGAGATACAGGCAATTCTGAAGAATACGGTTACCACACTCTAGGAAAGTTCAAATGTTATGGTATGACGTAAATTTACCTGTCATTAGACAGAAATACTCACCCTAGAAATCGTAACCTGTAAATTGCTGCTACTAAAGAGACCTACAATGTCACAATTTTTTCAATTCTGGTTTGTTTGCAGGATATTTTTTTCTTAGTCATTTAGCCCCTCCCTCTAAAGGTGAACTGATGCCGAAGGCTCCTTATTTCTCTTTTTTTATTTTTGGCTTAGAGTTCAATCCATGTTATTAGTTAAAATTTAATTGCTTTTATCGTAATTATAGAATCAGAAGCTTCACTATTAGCCTTGGCTAAATTTATATATTAAACTTTGTTCTAATATTCAATCAAAATAAATCCAAGCTCATAACACCCTAACCTGTTTGTAGAAGTTCTGCGGATATTTTCCAGTTTCTCGGTAGTTTCGAGAGCATTTTTTATCTTGAGGAGGATAAAAGAAATGAATGCAGCCGAAAATTTTGGATGTCTCTGTATGTGGATAGAAAAAAAAATTTCCAGCGACTGCAAAATCTATTTTGGAAAGTCCTAAGATGTCTGGTAACACCGGCTGGTCATTAAAGACATACTAAATAATCTGCTATAATTACAACTGATTCATACTTGGCTTATGAGGGATATAAATAAATAAATAGCATTGAGGTTCACCGACAAATAATTGTTTTCTTTTGATTTATTCTCCTAAGCCTTAGGGACAAGTATGGATGTTGATAATTCGAAACTGACTTACATTGTATTTGCGTCAATGATTTTGATGAAACTTTTACCACAGGGAATCAATTTCAGCAAATCACAGGTTCAAACAAAATATTCAAATATTCTAGATTCGTGTCCTCCTTATTAAATAAACCTCGGCTACTACATCGCGGAAAAAAAAAACTTGTTTGTTCTCAAAAAAACCCAACTAAATGTGTGGAAAAAAAATCACTGTTTTGGCTTGGCGGCTTTGCACAGGTTAGCCAGCCATGCACCTCCCTTCACATTCAATTTTCCGCGCTTGCATCTTTCGATGAAGTTATGTGGAGAGAATTATTAGAATGCTGATATGTGATTTTTTCTTATATAGTTGTTTTTTTCCTCAAAAGCAGAAGTAGTCCCTATATTTAATGACAATTAAAATTTGACGGAATGTCTTTGTGTTTCTCATTGCGGAAGTCGTTTTATAAATTACGCACAATTTTCCAACCCCCCACCCCCCCTTCCCACCCCCTCTCCTCACCTCAAAATCACAAGTCTGTGCCTTGATTAAAGGTGAGGTTATTTTGTAAACCTGTGGGTTTTAACTGTATGTAAAATGACGTAAGTACGATATAAAATTCTTTTTCGCTGGGGTCATTGACTGAAGCTAGTCAATTGCTTATCATAGATTAAGCCAATTTAATTTGAAATACTACGGGCTAGTAGTATCTCAAATGAGTCATCAAGCGTTGTACAGCTCATTGCTCTAGAAATAAAATATTTCAAGAAAAAAAAAAGAACTGAAAAAGAAAAGAATCAAGCAGAGTTAGACTGTGCTTATTTAAGAACACTTTGCTTTTCCTATTATTCGCTTTTTCAATTTTTCAATTCATATTTTATATCATTATTTTTCAGGTACGCAAATGCGTATCGTGCGTACTGCGTACAGGTAGCCACGCCCCTGTAAATACCGAGGTCAGATGGCCTATATTTAGTCAGTGATGGGCGATTGGCCAGGACAGGTGCGACTAAATGCGTGCAATAGACGGTGACTTTGAATTATGCCAGTAGGAACTGCTGTTTTACCAATACCCGCTTTCTGTAATTAATTTTTCTACCATTTGTTTATCTCTTTTCTTCCCTTTTTAAAGCGTTCTAATTATTTTAACATGAAACAATTAAATGATAAATTTTAGTGGCTTTTGCAATATTGTATTATTACTTTGACCCACTTTTGCAAATAAACATTGTTGTTGCTGTTATTGTTGTTGTTGTTGTTGTAATTTTGCACATGCCTTAGTCATCTTAGTCACACACTACACAAAAAAATTCTACTGAGCCCGCGTAACTGCAGTCAACAGTAAATTGTTTTCACGGTATTTATCGACATTTTAAGGTTTCTATCCGTTTTTGATTTGAAACAGATCTAGAAAATATATCGCTGTCAAGTACACAGTGCCATACACAATATTTTAAAAGATATTAACATTCTGGTGACATTTTTTCCTGTGGACAATTGTTAAATCAATCGTTAAAGACACTTTTGTTTATAGTGTAAAAGCAAAATAGCATACACGTTCAACAATGAACAAGTACATTGATTATATATTAGGACAAACTACGCACGAGGTCTCTTCCGAGGGAAGACTCTGGGGACATCAAATCTCGACGGCAGAAATCCTGCGGTTCCGGTTGTTCTACGCATGCCTTGGATCAAATTTTGTCTTCACGCATCGACCTTGCGTGATTATCTTGCATAATCGGAGGCCATAGAGTCTGAATTCCATTAATGGTGTATAGGTCGCACCTTCACCCTGTTCTTTTGGTGCGTTTCCCGGGGACTGGGAATATAATGGAAGAGCTGACCCGTAAAAGAGTTGACCGCCACCGTTTGAAGCGGGAACATTCGCCTCAGAAATTAACGCGTTTTCAGCCAGAATGTGGGGAAGAAACATAGCTTGCCTCCGGCAAGTTAACGACAACTTGCTTAAAAATAGTCGATTCATAATTTCAGAGACTACGGACGACAGATTGCAGACCGGATATGAGCACAATGCATTTTTTGCGAACCGGTCTTTGATCGTGCATGGAGTAGGGTCCTATGCGAAGTTACAGCAACTTATGAGTACGTTTTGCTCTAAAGGTATTATCGAGCCTCTCTCCTCACGCTTACAAAAAAAAGAATAAATGGCGGATTTATATTTATCGTGCTTAAAATCGCGCTTTCATCATGCATTAAAATGGTGCCATTTGTTATGCTTAACGATGCTATTAACGTGCCTGTGGTGCCCTCATCGCGCTTAAATGGACAAAGGCACGATGCACAAAATGCCAAAGAACGATAATCGCGAGCCCCGATGCAAGTTTATGTATCGTGCATTGGTAATTTTAAAATTAAACATTACGTTCCAGCGCTTCAAAGTTGTAGCTTATCTGTAAATAACTCTGAAAAATCATCGATCAATTTTAAGTTTAGAATAAACTTTTGGTATATGTGTATCTCTAACCTTTGTCAATTCTAGTCGATACATTTTTATTGTAGAGGTATATGAGATCGAAACTTTATAATTTTTAGTGAAAGACAGGGCAACATGGTATCTATTGAGTGCAATGAATTTTGTTGACAACTAATTTATATCTTCAGACGAAAGCTTTATGCAGAAATTATGTACTGCCTGCAATGGACATTGATTGCTTAGTAACCGTTCAGAAAATCAACTTTTTCAATGTGAGGGAACTGTAAACGTAAGGTATATGGTCACCAACATTGTGCGCATGGCCACCCCTTTAGCGTCTACAGTGACATGATCGATAGGCAAGAATGGAGTTGTGGTAAACATACTCACTCACGACAGTGAACTGGTGGATGGTCAGTTTTGAGGGAAAGGGAAGTTATGTGCAAAATGATCTTTACCTAGGGCAGGAGTGAGCAGTATCGCGCAAATATCTTTCATTCCCGTTGTCTCTGCACATTGCGAGCAGTTTATCAAATACGATTGTAAAGGTAGTCTGCTTTTCCGTCCTGACGACCCAGCAACAGGCTGGTGGGTATCACATAACGGCATTCAGCTGTTGTATTCGGGTGGAGCCTCTCCAGTTGATTTCAAAAAGTGCGTATGCGGGACTACATCCCCAAACATATGTGTACGGAAAGCTCATATAGCTGCAACTGTTATGCAAGCATGGATAGGTCCTGGCTTGAGGACAGTGGGTACCTCACTGAAATCGTCTTTCTGTGATACAACTATAAGGTTTCATCTATATATCAATCGACACCATCTGCGAAGCATTGAAGCCTAGAAAAGGAAATCGTTTCCACTATTCCATTCCATTAACCTTAGAGGATCAGCAGAAAAATAACTAGTGCAAAACAGAGCAGCGACTTTTTGATCCTGCGCAGAAAAATTAACTGTGACACGGACATACATTAGCTACTGATGGAACTTCAACAAAGCGGGATCGTAGCGGCATGAAGAGGTTTAAACAGGTGTTTAGATCCTACAGTTGTTATTCAAGGTCGCTTTTTACGGTCGTTTATCATTTTTCATCCAGCATTAAATTAATCCGTTAAAAAAGTTTTTTTTTCTTTTCAGTCAGGAAAGAAGAGTAAAGTTTGCCATTGCGAACTTCTGCATCTCTTTTTTACTCTTTTCTATCCTGGGGCGAGGCTTCTGGGTGAAGCGTACTGAAGGGAAAAATCCAGTCGCCGCATTCGCTAATTTATGTTGCGCTCTTCACCCTTTTTCTTCAAAAAAGGATTCTGGTCCAGCCGGACGCGTTGTCTCCTCTAATCAAGTTAAGAACGAATTTACCAACGTTGAAACCTAGCTTACAATGCCTCCACACGTTTAGATGCTATATACAGAAAAGAAATTTAATCAGGCCTTTATATTTAGCTCATGGGAACCTTAATAAATTATTCAAAATAAGCTTATGAGCTGGATGGGGGTGCCAACACTAAAATATTAGGAATCACCCTAACATTTAAATTAAGACACTTTTGATATTAAAATTGTCAGCTTAGTTTTAACAAAAAAACTAACAAATTATTCCTCTCAGACAGAGTCCAATTCAAATGCGTGACTGAAATGATTAACTAGGCTATGTTTTATGACACTGTGCCCCCTCACTAAAAATTGATTTTATTTATTTATATATTTCTTCTCATCATTGATAGCTTTTGTGTTGTTCGCGGTATATTTCTATAAGCACCCCCAAGAGGAGTTTAATTAAAAATAATTCATAAAGCTGGGCGTTTGAACACCGTTCTTGAAATCGACATGAGTTCTACTGCAAAAACATGGCTGTAACTATTTTGAATCTTCTGATAAGCTTATCCGTTATGTTGGACGCTGTTGCAACTCTTCCGCACGCCAACCTTTATCGTGATTTAAAGCGACAAATTGCCTTTGGAAATTTTAAACCAGACCAACGACACAAGTTAGTCGGAACTAAGATCGCCTCTTCCCTTGTTTCAGACATAACTGACTGCACGCTGAACTGTGTAAGTGAGTCCCTGTGCAAATCGTTTAACATCGCGGCAAGTCCTGACTCTGAAAATCTTTATTTGTGCGAATTGTTAGACACCGACAAACACAGGGTTTCTGTAAATGATCTTCAAGCAAATCCTGCTTTTAATCATTACAGCCCTTGGGTAAGTTGAATGTTTTAGTTTGGTTATCTGCTACAGTGACTGTAATAAAAAGGGTTAACTCGGACGTGCAAATGTTAATGATGTACGCAATAATAAGCTTATAGAATGAAGTTCCCCAAAGGTTTAAGGGCCTGTTTACATGGAGTGGGGGAGCCCGGTCTAGTGGGGTAGGTTTCTTTTGTTTTGTGTCCTCCAGAGCGTGAAAACAAAAGAAACCAACCCCACTAGACCGGGGTCCCCCACTCCATGTAAACAGGCCCTAACTCACGAATACTTTCAGTAATTTGGGATCTAATTAGGTCAACAAAACTCTTTCATATATGTTGCTGAAATTAACACACACTGACTTGTTATTCCTTTGTTGCTATAGCTATTCATTGTACGAAAACTTGCTTAATTTCACATTGTTCTATTGGTTTGTATAAATTTAAGCGCTTCATTGTCAAATAGTAAGGACAGTAAGTTTCTCAGTCACTTTTACCATGCAAATATTATCTCACCAAGAGAGGATAAAGCTCGGAGAACGAATTCCTCATATAAGCCTTCTACCCATAGTAATCCCTCTAAAGTTATTTGTGGAACGCATCCTTTTTCCCGCGGATAATTTTTCCTCGGACGCGCGTTACGTGGAAGTTTCGTGGAGGAATGAAAGTGCAAAAGAATGTCGGGAGTGCGAGAGTTGCGATAAATGCGAAACAAAGTGATACTATTAGAAATAAAAACATCTAGAGGAAACATTTTGTTAAGCAATTAATGACCATTTGTCGTCAGCCGTGCTTCACATTTTTAGTTCTGCTGGCTCAGGAAGAAAAAAAGTTTACAATTGTATTCGATTAGGTTTGTTCTCTTATCTTACTATCTTAAGATAAAAGAGCTGTACTTTGCTATTTAAAGATGTTTGTTTATAGAATAAATAGAATTATAATATGTGCATGGATCTATAAGGGAACTTTATCATCTTGGATTCAAGTCTACATCTCACTCGTTTGCTTCGCTCACTCGTTAACTAGCTGGGAATTAATTTGACAATATGGAAGATAAATTACGTATCTCTGCTAAGGAAAAAGTTCATACAATTCTGTTGAAAATATTTGAAGTTCAGGATAGATATGCTGACCTAAACACGATAATCTCCGATTTTAAAAAATATTAGCCCCCGCTTAACTTATCTAAATAGCTGCCTCGATTTTCTTATCTCAATTTCTCTTGTGACTGACCTTTTTTATTATAAATATGGTTCTTTTTCACTTCAACTTTTCGTAATAAATCTTAAGCCGTCTACACACCACCTGCCTCGATTAGCCTTGCTATTTGCAGGTGGTGTGATATTTGTATATTTAATGTAAGAAATAAAGATGTTGTTGTTGTTGTTGTTTGTTGTCTGCGCTGTTACTCTCACTGGGCATCAAACCACAGTCTCATCCTGCATAACTTGAGCGCCGACATTACACAACACGTACACGAAGATTTCTTGATTCGACCACCCGTTAAGTTAGTTACGGCTGTTTTCCACCTGTGAAATTGTTGTTACCATACAGTCGTGTTCAGTTTCTTTTAATACGTTTGCAAGTAGCCTGGCTCTTCGCATTTGACAAAACAGAACAGTCAACTTCGTACTGAGTACGGCATTGTATGCATATAATATACATCATCGGAGATCCAGGGGCAGTAAGTTAATTGGGTCGGAAGAAACGCCGAGAGGAGAAGATTTTTAAGCAGGAGCTTAAACAATATATATAGTGTAAGGTTCAATAAAGGTGCAGAAACGTGGAACCAACATGGTCATTGATTCTCATCTTGTTTCTATGAGAAACCAACAAACTGTTAAATGGACTACTTGCCCTGTCAAACGGGTCAAATAATCTCTCTAAGTATAGGTTAGTTATAAACAAAGGCATTGTAATTAGTACCAATGAAACAACGGATAAAAATTACAATCTCTGATCAGTCCCATTTACCTTTTGTTGACATTTTTTTTCCCTTTTTTGATAGTATCCGTGTCAACCAGGATCAGCTGGATTTCACTGTGATCGTCAAGGTAAACGACTGCTTAAACCGACGATATATTTAAGGCCAAAAAATAAACAAACAAGCATCGATTATTTTTTCTTGTAAGCTTGCCGAGCATAGATTTAAACAAAACATCCTCCTCATGACCTATTTGGAAAACAAAGCAACTATTGTGTCCCCGTGGCATTTTAATCTTATCAGTGACCCCTAGCAGAGCGCAAGTTCCTCAACCGCCCAGGGGCTGACATTTTTATGTTTCCTAACGTCCAGTGTCACGACCAGCGAAAAAATGCAGAGTTCTAAAAAGCTAAAAGCTGTTAGGTGCGAGGTTAAGATTTATGCCACTGTCCCCGGGTAAATTAAGGTAATTTCCTTTGAAAAGAATGACTACTACAGTGGAACCCAGTTAATACGGACACCGACATAACGTGTCTGTAGTGTCCTTACTATTTACTATTATTAACTTACCATTAGCTTTATTGTATATCACACACTCGGAAAAAAAAAAAATTCGTGAGAACAACCAAAGCAGGGGGCTTAAATGGCCTAAGGTCAGCAAAAAAACGTGAAGAATTTACATGAATAAAAGAAGGCGTTAACTACAATAATTGCCCCCGTAGGGATTTCGCCCAGAGGCAAAGTCCCGAGGAGGCACCCTAGTAACTCAAGCGTATATTAAGGACAGTACTTACAGTTCAAATATACAGTCAGTATACTAGAAAAAATCTCCATTTGCTCGAACAGGGGCCGCGAGGAATCGGTAGGTAATGACGACGTTTCTATTGTTTGCGCCCGCAAGTACGAAATGGGTAGGATGATGTAAAGACAGAAAATTCCGAAGGGACCGCTCAGGTAGATTGTGCAGTCATACTTCGATACTCTTTTGCGTTACGCAGTGACATTCTGTGGAGCAGTTGTTTTGAAAGTTATGGGCCAAAAGACACTCGTTAAGCGCAGATGAGGTTATAAGGTGCGTTTAACTGTGTATATATAAACACTTGGAGGTTTGCCAGACACGAGTTCACAAATCTTTGATTTATATTGGAAACCTTGCCAGACACTCTTTCTCTCTCTTTGACCGGAACAAGCAGGGGCGGATCTAGGGGGAGGGTGCAGGGGGTGCGCACCCCCACCTGAGATGACCTGCGGTTTTCTAATACATCTTTTTTTCTGCAAAAAAAAAACTATGTGGTTTATTGGTGTTGAAGTAGAGCAAGAGATGAGTGCACTCCCTCCTAAAAAAAATCCTGGATCCGCCCCTGATAAGACTCAGCCCCAAACAAGGAAGACGAGTGAACAACGGCTAGCTTATCACTAGCAGATTGATGGACAATTACATGTGTTCGCCGACAATCTAATTCTGTGCTGTCTTTTTCCCTGCTCACAGATGTCCTTGCGTTATAAAGTTTCAAATAAGACTAACCTGCGATCAGGAGAATGCGCAAGCGTGAATCGATCAAAAGTCCTTTTAATTTCTAAGGCTTACTTTCCGGCAAATAAAATGAACTGAATGTAAAAAGTGAAAGAGAAATAGCGAAAAGTTGAACTTCTAAGTGAATCTTTTCTTATGGTTTAGAATAAACTATTCTCGAAACTGAGAATGTTTTGATCAAAGCTGTGTAAATCGAGCTGAAACTGTGCATGGAACCTTGCGTTTCCTGTATTAAATTAAAATTAAAAATTAAAATTAATTAAAATTAAATTAAATTAATTTTATTTAAGCTCCATAGCGTGAGGAGTGGTTGCCCAATCTCCCGAGCCAGGGGCTCATGTACTAAACGCTCGAGCATTCCGGATTGAATTGGAATTAATTTAGAAATGTTGGTTTTTGCGGAGAGGGGAAAACCGGAGTACCCGGAGAAAAACCTCTCGGAGCAGAGAAGAGAACCAACAACAAACTCAACCCACATATGACGTCGAGTCCGGGAATCGAACCCGGGCCACATTGGTCGAAGGCGAGTGCTCTCACCACTGCGCCATCACTGCTCCCCATTTATGTATTTATCACACCTTTTGTATGGAATACGTGTGAAAATCTTCGTTATGAATCGGTATATTTCAAAGAGCTACACAACCAGCAAAAATACTATTGACCGACAATATACAGAACGGGGGCAGCTGTAGTGTCAACTATTACTAGTTACAATACTATTAAATCAAAAGAAAGAAAAACACAGAGAAAACTAAAGAAAAAAAAAGACAGAAAACTACACCTGAAATACAATACTTGAAAGCTAATTTCAAATACTTAAACAACTAATTATTCCTATAAACCATAAAAACAAATACACCTAGTATAGTCCCACAAGGTATACAAAATTGGTGACAGGAGAGTTAATTAAGGTATGAAGAAGTTTAACTGAGTTTAAGCTTGATTAAAGTAACGAGTAATTATCAAATACTAATTATGACTACTAAATCTACAAACACTTGATAATATATTCCTATAAAGACACCCTTAACCGGGTAAAGTATAAGAGCTCTTTTTCATCGGAACGAATGAAACTGTCCGCTTTGTACGGGTGTCCGTATAGCGGGATTCCTCTGTTTTTTGTTTTTTGTTTTTTGTTTTTTTTTAATTCAATGTCTTACATGGCTGTCAATTGAGCCAAGTTTGAAACGTAACCCGTTCTACGAAAAATATAAGAGCTTTTTCTCCTCTGAATAAATGAAGCTTCCGCTTTATACGGGTGTCCGTAGAACGGGCTCCACTGTTTTCACATTTTTTTTTCCCTCAAACTTGGCTCAGTTTCCTTGATATTTTTTCTTTCGATTTTGATTTCGTTTTCTTTTCTTTGTCTTTCTTTTCCTGTTTTTCTTTGACTTCTCAGCGCTCCTCTTTTAAAACAAAGGTTTCGATTTTAATTTGAACATTATTTTCTACATAGGAAAAACCTGCAGTGATATTAAGCTACACAGTCCTCAAGCCAAAAGTGGTTCTTACGTCATCGACCCAGACGGAATTGGTGGCTACGAACCCTTTACTGTCTCATGTGACATGACTGACAAGTACGAAGTTGGTGTGACAGTTATTGGTCACGACAGTGAAGACAGAATTTTAGTAAACGGACTGGAAAGCAGAGGAAGCTATGTACGTGATGTTAATTACATAGGAAGCAGTGTTGCACAGTTAGCTGTCCTATCATCCACCTCGGCGCACTGTGAGCAGTTTATCAAGTACGAATGCGTGGGCAGCATGCTTTTCCGGGGTGGAAATCCGCATGGTTGGTGGGTATCACGTGACAATATCAAGATGACGTATTGGGGTGGAGCTACTTCGGCTAATCCCTACAAGTGCGCATGCGGTGTGACGGACTCATGCGCGGACATAAGCTTTGGATGCAATTGCGATAAAAATGACGCTGTATCACGTGAGGACAGCGGTCCTCTAACTGAAAAGTTATATCTTCCCGTGACACAGTTACGGTTTGGAGACACCAGTGGCGATTATGAGAAGGGTTACCACACCCTTGGAAAATTTAAGTGTTACGGCATAGCGTGAAATTCAGTTAGTAATAAGAGCTTAAGATGTGTGTTGCATCTAAGACCATTATACCATGTAAGTATTTGCTGCTAAAGCACTTTGCGTAAATTATTTTGGACATCATAAATTAGGAGAGTATATAATCACCAAGTTAGAAAGAGCTCTGTCACAATATTTAGTTTGGGTTATCACCTATTTAAAGAACCGTAAACCTCAGAGTATTAGTACGATTAAGTAGAAAAACATCGCCGAACCATCTGACAACATCGAACTATCTGCATGTGTAAACTCCACTGGCACCTTCATCGTCTTCATCATTTTATAAATTTTGCTTCCCTCTGGTAACAAGCATAGAAACTGTTAAGTGCAACGAATGCTACACGTGCTGTGATTGGCTAAGAACTAACTTTTATTGATTCTGCAGATCAATGTAGCCTACAGATTATTCACTTAATTATGGTACTGCACGCAATGAATGATTTTCACCATTTCTATCCTTTTTTCAACAGAATAAACTGTGTGCCGTGCAGAGCAAAAGTGTTTTCGGTTTTTAAAAAAGAATATTAGATTATTCAGCTTTTGTAATATCCGATATGGCGATACCTTGTTTATCAAGGTATCGGCTAACGATAAAACTGTGATAAAGAGATGAAGTGCTAGAGATTATGCTAGTTTATGAAGTACTTCTATTGAGCGCCCAACCTCAAATAAACGGCCAATTTCCGGTAACCCTAGAGTAGCCTCTTAGCTGTAATGGAGGTGCAAATGTAATCCCTCAGTCTTTCTGTGTTGGTCATTGACAGAAAAACATTAAAAATTCTTAAATTCGACATTTATTTTAAACTGATTTTCCTACCATTTGAAAGTTGTTTTAAATATTACCATTTGTTTTTGGAAAACGATTCGTCTAAAAACCTGATCTGCCACTGGAGCCATGTAAGGGAATCCCGATTCCGAAGTCCGGGAAAATTTTGTTAGTGGAAACTGTATTCCTGGGCTTTGGAATCTGGAATACAGCCCACGGAAACCGGAATCCAGAATCTAGTGACAACGACGTGGAAGTACCTGAAATCTGGAATCCACGTCGTTTGAATCCAGAATCCAAGACGGCCTTGGATTCCCTTACATGGGGCGATGCGATGTAACAATGAGATATAACAAAGAAAGATTTTCTGCGTGTTGAAACCTAGACCTGAAGAAATTCCCCCTCTTTAATTATGCTTAAGAGGCTGTCTCAGTAAAAACCGCCCACTCAATATCGCGAGAAAAACAATTTTGCCTGAAACTCAGGCAGTGAAGCAAAAAGTTACAGTTCTTCTTTAAAAAAAAAGGAATTAGAGTGGCCCATTACCCTACAGGCTAGTAAGCTACTGGTGGAAGCGTGCCCATGCGCTCCATGAGGGTGTAACTCAAGCTCTCCTGTCCATCTCTCAGAGCAACGTGGATTATCCCACTTAGTTTGCAGAGGGTAGGACGAGGCTCATCCCTAAACCAGGAGGACAGTTCTCGACTAAGAACCAGCGATCGACCAATAACATGTCTAAATAAGATTAATTTATAGGTGGTTACATCTTGTCTCCGTCGCCCCTTAAAGGGTAAGCAAAGAAGCACCAAAGAAGGATGTAGTGGCACATCATGCAGATATGCAGATAACCTGATGATTGATAGAATAGTCACCATGGATTGTCACAGAGAAAAGCGAAATCTGTGTATGGCCTGGGTAGATGTGAAGAAAGCTTATTATTCTGTGGATCACAAGTGGCTTTTTGATGCAGTGCTTGATTTCGTCTTTTAAGCTAAATTTTAGTTGGTTATGTTTTTGAACCACGTTTTTTGGCAGGAATGATTTAAGCGATTTCCATGATTTTCGGCATCCTTAATAAATAATGGTCGAACTTTAAGAAAATGCCGACTATCGCCTATCTGCAGGGGTATTCTTGCCCAAAGCGTTAGTTGCAAGAAACTGAGTAATCAGAAATATACGGCGAATAGAGTTCGCAATACAAGAAGAACAACTTCATGCTGAATGCGGGGCAAGATAAAATCATTTTATTTATCAAACTTACTTTGTATTTGTCCCGCTCTTTTCGAAACCTATGTTAACAAGGCAAATTGTATTATCTACGAAAAACTCTTCAGAGTTTTTAGCGTCGCAGAAACTTTGATAAATAGATGTTATTTAATCTTGCCCCGCATTCAGCACAAAGTTGTTCTTCTTGTATTGCGAACTGTATTCGCCATAGGTTTCTGATTACTAAATTTCTAGCAACTGAGAAGCTTTGGGCAAGAATATACCTTTGCAGATAGGAGATAGTCCGTCGGCAGTTGTCCTCTATTTGTGTGTCAACTTTCACAAATGTGTTAGCGTTGCATTTTAACGGTTTAATTTGACCAGCTATTTGTGCAGCGAGTTCTAAGGTCACGATTGACTTCAAACTTGCAGATATAAAACTATAGAGTTCTGAGGCTTATTTGCCTAAGTTAGAGAAAAATACGGTTTGAAACATATGCCGATATATCAAGCGTGTTTATACCTAAAAAAAAAATAAATAACATTTTCTTATAGTTCGACCATTCTTTATTGAGGATGCAAAAAATTATGAAAATCGGTTAAATCATTCCTGCCGAAAAACGCGATTCAAAAACGTAACCAACGCGCACATAAATAGGTTCGGGCCACCTTAAGGACTAACTAATACTTTCAGAGAAAAAAAAATTAATTAAAATTAAAAAAAAAAACTAGAGATATGTACCAATGAATAGATATAAAATTCATTGGCAGACGTTGCAAGTCAAACTATTACAGCGCCGCAAAAAGTGTCTAATTTTCAATTTTCAAGACGTACAAACTGGCCATGGCGCGACAAAAATTAATGCTCAACTCCCCCTCCCCACCACCAGCGCAGTCAGACCAAAGCAAACCTATTTTAGTTATAGTCTCGATAAAGCCCTTAACTTACCAGAGTTTCAGGCAAAATCATTTTTTTCCAGCGAAATTCATCGAGCAGTTTTTTATATATATGAGTGAGGCAGCCTCGGCTGATGCTGTTATTTTGTAAATAACTGCAGTAATAACTTTTTCTCAACAAGATATCATACTAAAGGCGCTATTAACAATTAATTCCAATTGGGCAGGCGTACGTGTATCTTGAAAACGTAGGTACTCTACTTAGTTCATCTACCATTCAAATTCATTTCCCAAAGCAACAACATGGCTATTGTATTTTTCAATTTGGCGATCGGCTGCATTTCCTTAAAGTCAGCCGCGACTGCAAATTTCATGCAACTCGGGCTTTTCCGTGATGAAATTCGGCAAATTCCCTCTGGAAATTACAAAATGGATCAGGACATCCGGCTAATAGCAACTAAAAACATTTCTTCCTTAGTCGCAGACGCATTCGATTGCACATTAAGGTGCATCAATCAGATAACGTGCAATTCCCTTAGGGACCGAAATAATTAGTACTACTCGTTTTTTGTTGTTAGAATGTTTTCGTGTCACGTAAACAGCTAATATTTAAACAAACCAAATTCTGAATTCTCAGAAAAAAAAATAAAAACATCTAAAAAACAACGGGGTACATCAATCGTTTCTAGCTTTTTACATGTACTTGCCTTCTGTCAAATAATCCCTGAGTTGTTACTAATCTTCACTGGCTGGCTCTCTCTCTTTTTTCTAATCCCCTTAAAACAGAACAGATTATTCTCTATAAAGTGGAAAGATCTTAAAAGCTTCATTACTAGAGATCAATTCACGTACCAGCCATATTTCCAGTACTGGCAGTTAATTGCGCGCGTACTTCCTCGCGGTTTTGATTTCCGAGACTCCATGTCGCCATAATTCTAGAGGGGAAAATGAGGAAAAGTACATTAAAGAAAAGATTTTAGCATATTTTTGTTTTGTAGAAAAAATAATTAATTTACTGATCCTGCCTTATACTTAGCGCAAACATACGACTCAGTTATAGGTAAATTATTAACGATGTTAGCTTACTACCGCACACACAGTAAAAAGCAATCTGTGAATAAGGAAAAGCGGTAAATTGAATGTCTTTAAACCAAGCGCTTTTTCCATTTTTATCCGCCTCTGTTAAGGAGTCTGATGATGGTCTTTACTCTTTTAACAAAGATGATGATATTTTCTTTCTTAACGCTGGTGATAAGGAATTCTATCATTTTTCAAGCAAGTGCAAATTTTCAACAGTCTGGGCTTTATCGAGATGAAAACCGACGAAGTGCCTTTGGAAACTTCAAACTGGATCAGGGCTTCAAGTTGTCCGCGACTAAGATCGCCTCTCCAATGGTTTCCGACATATTCGATTGCGTTCATATCTGCCTTAATGGGGCAAATTGCAAATCGCTTAATTTTGCGGTGAATCCATACGCAAACGGACTTTACCAGTGCGAATTGCTGGACACTGACAAGTACCGGGCAAATACAATTGATTTGCAACCAGATGTGGCTTTTCATCATTACAGCCCGTGGGTAAGTTGTAGTAAAGTAGTAAATACCTTTGGTTTTACCTAAATAAAACCTGCCCTTCTTGCATACATTTTGTGCTCGTCGTTAGCTGACATAAACCTTTAATGTGTGTGTGGATTTAAGCTTGAAGCATTTTCGCAGCAGTATTGTCTGCTGTTTAGAACCAGCCACAGGGCCCTCAAACCGGTAACAAGCTCATTTTAAAACGGGAAAAAATGAAATAATTGTCTTTTTTCATTTATTTTTTTCCTTGGACGGTGTTGGGCAATCACGCTGAATTATTAATTGTTATTTTTTTTTTGCCAAACGTCGATAAAGATATTTAAAAAGTACAGTCCTAATAAGCAAAAATCGTATTAGACTAGGCTGTAAAATCAATTTTTTGGATCCGTGATAAAAGTGGTACATTTTTTAAAAATTATAGCAAACTGCTTTTCTTCGTGATATTATGCCTTCCTAACAACGCTGGTCATTGTAAACAACGTTTAATTTTAAAGCGCTGACCATTTTAGACTATAGAACTATTGCTTAAGAAGTACAAGTTACTAACACAGGAGCAGGTGGCGCAATTTGCCCACACCAGGTAAACAGCGATGTGGGATACCTTATTCATCAAAACTGATAGTGTTACTAACCATCGGTATGCCAGCTGAATTAAAACCCACTGAGTTCCTAGAGCAAACAGCTTACTCTTGGCGGTTCATTTTGATAAAATTTGTCAAGTCAGTCGCCATGGTTACTAGGTATGACGTCATAAGTCGACTGATATTAGGTCATTTTTTATAATATAGAAATGAACAGGGAAACATAACTTTGTGAAGTCTTCTAGCTGGCTTCATGTAGCCCACTAATCGGGGACTCATAGTTGTAATTTAAATTCAATTAAATGGGGGTGATTCCAATAAATTTGGTGATAATTCAGTACAATTACAGTGTTAATTGATAACTGCAATTCTCCTGGTACTTACTAGCAATGAAAAAAGATTCTGTGAAAAATAAGATTTAAAAAAATGTGAATAAAGGCCTTCTTTCTAAGAAGGAACAAAGGTGGTTAACAGCGCGATGAATGAATAAGTCAGAGTTCTGTACAGTACTGTTATAACTAGACGGCGATCCACCGGACAGATCGACATTATAAGCAGATCAGAGTGATGGGCTCGATGAATGCTTGAATTTCGCACATTTTAAGCAAAAATGCAATTTAAGTAATCTTGATTCTTTCATTGCAACGTATATTAAAAAAAAAAAGAATTTGAAAAAAAAATGCTTATTTGGTAAGCCACTAGTGTAAATTAAAACCAGTACTGATTAGCTATAACTAATGTTTTATGGGAAATTTAGTGCAGGAGACTTAGCTGTAATGAGTTGTCACGCGACGCTTCAATGGCTATACGGAGCCGGTAGTATTAAGTTACAACGCTACGTACACTTGTTTGGACGTTTTCTTTGAACCAAAAGCATCCATTTTTTTTTTCTGATAATTTTGATTAGTAAAAATTTTCCACTCTTTTTGTCAAGCTGTAGGAACACATGGAATACAGGGAAAGTGCATGTGTACGGTATTTACAAAAAAAGAACGAATGAGCAAATACAAAAAACGCTTTCCAGGTAGTATTGTGTAAATTATATAAATTCTGAGATGCTGCCAACCTTTTTATGTTAAATCTTTCCACTGTGCTAAAATGATGAAATTTGCTTGCTCCGCAGACTGCTAGGACTCATTTGCTTAATATGAAAATTTACGATATAGCTTTTCAGTGAGAATATCTCAGTATTTAGCAATAGTAATAACAATTATTATTATAACAACAATTATAACAATAATAATAACAATTATTTTTATTATTAATGAATTCGTGAAGCGCCAATGTTTATGTACGTATTCATAAGCGCATTAACATAAAAGGAAATCATGAAACAGTTGTACATCTACGTACTAAAAGTACTTATAATCCACATAAATAAATGAGTAAGATAAAATAGAAAGCAACAATGAGCAACTGAAATACATAACTTATCCAAATATCTATGAAATTAAGTGAAACATTTAACAAAATATGACTAAGCTTTAAACGCTTCCATAAATAAATAAGTCTTTAGTCCTTTGAATAAGTCCTTTGAAAGGAACTAACCGGTGTACTATTCCTAATTGTGCAAGGTGACACATTTCAAAATTTTTGTGCTCTACGGCAAAAGAACAACCCCAAAGAAGAACATGTGTCCTGATGTCATACATTTTAGCCTTTTACTTCATTATCTGAACGTAGCCTACACTTACTAGGGTTCTTTACATGTATAAAATAAATCACGTGTTGTCTTCGTGTGTTTCACTGGACTTATTTAATCAAGGGTGGAGACGTTTTCAGAGGTGTTATAGAGCCTATGTGTCTCTTTAACATAGCTTTTTGATCATAGAGGACCCACACAAATTGTGTGGCTGTTGTAATGTTTAAATTAAGAGTCGAAAGGTTCGTATTATCGTGATGTAATTTATTTATTCGCCAAGTAACTCACAGAACAAGTTCTACTACGAGGTCCAAAACATAAGGCGATGAATTTCTATATGTAAATCAAAATAAACATATTTTTATAGGAAATGTTGTGTATTGTGCGTCGTTCTTGCAGCTGAAAACGACGTACTATAGCGATTTGAAGGGTGTTACATTCGACGTTCACTCTCTACTATACGTTCAGGTAAACATGGAATGTAAAAACCTTCAAATCGCTATATAATTCGTGGTTTTAACAGCTGCCAGGACGATGTTATATATAAGAATTCATCGCATTACAACAGTCACACAATTTGTGTGGGTACCCTGCGTTCATGATGGCTTGCAAATTACAACAGCATGGAAGGGGATTCTTGTCCCTAGACTTAGAAAACCTCGAAGGCCTCTTCTAATTATACCTTAGGGAAGGAATTCGAAGTGTGTTGTAAGTTTTCCTTGAAGTCATTTATGCTTTAGCCATTAACTCAGATTTATTCTTTTTATAGTCGTCGTGTCAACAAGGATTTGTAGGCATCCAATGTGATAGGAAAGGTGAGTATTAAGTATACTTATAAAAAATTCTTCACGAAACGTGCGTGCGGTAATAACGCACAAGACGTCGAAGTACTAAAAATCAAACGATTAAGCTCAGCCAATTCAATAAATGCGATTTTTGATACAAAAACAACTAACGACGTAAATACAACACCCCACATTATTTTCCGCCGGTCGTGTTTTGATTGATAAAGATACCCTCTATGACATTCATCGATCCCGGCTATAATCTTAACAATTCTTCTCGAAAAGCTAAATGAAATAATTGAATAATTTGCCGTCCCTTTACAGGAATAACAGCATAAACCTTTAACTTAAGCGTTCATATTGAGGAAAATTGTTAATGATGGTAAAAATATAAAGTGACACAGGAATAATTTTTTACTTTTTGTTTTTATTTTGAATCTTGAGTCGAAGAAAAGGAAATATCCGTTAGAATTTGACTTTAAAAAATGGGGGCATCTTAGATGACAAAGTTAATGTACCAGTAGATGCTCGATTAGCTCATAATTGTTAACTCCTAGTCTCCACTTAAACCTCCAGTAGAAATGTAACTGTACCTCGGGGGTTTGGGGGCGTATACATGTATACAGCTATTTCGAGAAAGGTTTGTCAGAAAAATGTACACGCGACAATCCCGCAAGGTAATATGGGATATGATCAATACAATGTTCCTGACACCGTGGCTGTCGAACCTACTTTTGTCGCTTTCCTTCAGCACTGACAAACATACGTCCATGGCCTCTCGTGGTGCCATTCTCTCAAATTTCTTCAAAGAACAGTGAACTCAAAACTACCCACAATACCTTTCTGGATTGTCGCGTGCTTTTTTTCCGACAACCTTTCTCGAAATAGCTGTGTATTTCCAATGCAAGACATGTTGCACAAAGTTAATTCTGTTGCCTTTTGTTTTGCAATTCAGGAAAAACCTGTAGTGAAATAAAGCTACACAGTCCTCAAGCCACAGATGGTCATTATGTTATCGATCCTGATGGGGATGGGGGCTATGAACCTTTTACTGTATATTGTAACATGACAGCAAAGAACGGTGTTGGTGTGACAGTTGTTGGCCATAATATGGAAAAGAGAACGCTTGTTAAAGGATTTGGCCCTCGGGGAAGTTACATGCGTAATGTTACTTACATGGGAGCGGAAATCATTAGCATTTCACAGCTTGTTGGTCTACTGGAAGATTCTGCAAGTTGCCAGCAATTTATAAAATACGAATGTCACCATTCTGTCATCATGCATAACGGTAACCCATACGCATGGTGGGTATCACGTGATTTGACAAAGATGACATACTGGGGAGGAGCCTCACCAGCTGATTCTTACAAGTGCGCATGTGGGGTGACGAAAACTTGCACGAACAGAAGCAAGGGATGTAACTGCGATGCAAATGATCAAGTCTGGCGTGAGGACAGTGGCCTATTAACTGAAAAAGCGCACCTCCCTGTTTTAAAGTTGGTATTTGGAGACACAGATGCTTCTTTTGAAAAAGGTTATCACACGCTTGGAAAACTCAAGTGCTCCGGAATTGCTTAAATTGGAAAAGCAATGCGGTGGGAGGTATTTTTGCAAAGATTGGCATAGCGGTACTTTTCACTTGTCTGAAGACGTTCATCTTGGTGAACAAAATGAGAAATTCAAAAGCACGGAGATTCTCTTCTCCGAAACATTTTTCTTTGAAGTTTCCTACAAAAGCGCAAATACACCACTTGAGGAAATAATAAAGATTAAAGTACATGTAATATTTATTCTGAGACAACTGATGTTTAGATAATAAAATCTCAAAACATTCGCGGGTAACGTTTATAACCCACATGAAGAGCTTCCTGAACGCCAGCTAAAATGCAACAGCAAAAGAAATTCAAGCTTCCTCTATCGCAAAACTAAGACACGTTTTGAATCGAGCATTTCTTTAACTAAAGCCGTTTTGGTGCGGTAATACCTCACGAAAGTAGAAACGCAGATCAATCGATAACTCCTTACTTGGTTTGAATGTTCGTGACGTCAAGTGAAAACCGAGGATAATGATGAATTTAACACAAAATATGCGAGTACCATGTGTAGTAAATATATCTAGTATCTAGTAAATAATAATAATGAAATTGTGATGATGATGATAATAATAATAATAATGATAATAATAATAATAGTGATGATAATAATAGTAATGATGATGATGATGATGATGATGATGATGATGATGATGATAGTAACAATAATGTTCATGGGGATGATGATTAATAGACTGAGCCCCTAGTCTAAGTAAAGATCGATGAAGATTTTTGCCAACCGTCTAATCCTGTTATACTTAATTTCTATGTTTGTAATTGGCTTTGCCATGCAAGCTGCTAAATAAACCTTAGCATGAATCATGTAAATTATAATTAGTGTGCTCCGTTAGACTTAATTTGACGGTTCTAATCTACATTGTAGCATCCATAAATAAGGAAAGCATTGGGCACCTTCCTTTATCCATTCTATTTCATTTTAGATATATAATTTTTTCCCTGCAATTTTTAAGCTAAGATATGATGCTATCCGTTTTAGGCCTGGTGGTAGTAGGCTTGAATTTACCACCCGTGAATAAGAAGAAAGCGTTCAAAATCGAGCACCTGCGGTGTATGTTCCTATTTATCAGTTTAGATGTCATATTAGCATTTTCTGCTGCATCCTGTTCCAATATGTTTCTTGTTGTATTACGTCTGTTGATCGGGGCATCTGTGCTAAACCGAGTTCCAGCAAATTTTCAACAATCCGGACTTTATCGGGGTCAGAAACAGAAAATTTTCTTTGGAAACTTCAAACCCGATAAGGGCCACAAATTATCGACAACGAAAATCTCTTCTCCCTTGGTTACCGATTTATTTGATTGCGCGTTAAACTGCATTACCGACTCAAGATGCAATTCGTTAAATTTTGCAGTAAATCACGACTTCAACAAACTTCATGTCTGTGAATTGTTAGAAACTGACAAGTACCGGGCCGCGGCAGACGATCTTCAAGAGAATGGCGGCTTTCTACACTACAGCCCTTGGGTAAATATTATTGTTAAAGGAGCCTAATTTTTAATCAGTTTTCCTTTTATGCTGAGAAATACAACGTTTTATCAGTTAACCACCCTGACAGTACTGTAGCTGGTTCGCTGAATTATGCCACTAATCTTTGTTGCAGAGTTTAGGTCTGCCTACCGGCGTTTCTAGAATGACTCTCTTATAGCTTCTTAGCAAATAAGTTCAGTAATTTTTCCAAGGAAACAACTATTAACTTAGTTTTACTTTAATTATAACTTTTTATCACAGTCTTCGTGCCAACGAGAATTTGTTGGAACCCAATGCGAAAGGAAAGGTAAGTTGTAGGTATTTTGACACGAAATTTACTATTCTTACCGATCTCAGCTGTGCTAATACAGAAGAAGCAGTGTATTTTTTTTCCAGGACTAACAAAAATTTTGCGATAAGGTCTTTGTTTTCCTTTATTCCCAAAATGAGCCTTTGGTTGGGCCAAGAGTAGCTCAACTACCAGACATGAAATTACCGTAAAATTCCGAAAATAAGCCGCGGGGCTTATATTTTTCAGAGGCCCTTTTTGAGGGGCTTGTTTTTTGGAGGGGCTTATAATCGGAGGAGCTTATGTATGGAGAGAAATTTGCGTTTCAAAATCGATTGAACTAGTTTGTAGTGGGAAGGAGATTTACCATTTTTTGCTTTGTTCTACTTTGTATTCAAGGGCAAATTCCAATTACAAGGCCCCGCAGGGCTTATATTCGGAGGGGCGATTTAACGGAGGGTTTTTTGCGTTACGATTTTGGGGGGCTTATAATTGGAGGGGCTCAGTTTAGTGGTGACCCTTTCAGGTTGTATTAATACGCGCATAAAAAGGCGAGCAAAAAAGTAGTTGGGTCATATTTGACACTGTTAAGTATGGGTAAGATTTCCTTTTGGCCCAATTAGGCTAAAAATTATAAGTTCGTGTGAGCAAATCCCAAAAAGCGCCATTTGATGATGGAAGCCCTTCCCTGCTCGTACAGAGTAACAGAAAAAAATTGTTCGCGCTCAGCTAGAAAATAATTAAATAAAAGAAATGTCCTCGAAAATTATAGTGCTTTTTTTCGGGGGGGGGAGGGGGATGAATACACTAATTTTTCTAGCAAAAAATTATTCAAGGATAATTCTCCTTTCTGTTTTGACTGAACTCACCTCGGTAAAGGTAGTTTGTGAATGAGCTAAGAGAATGTATAGCCCTTTTCACTATTTATTAAAAATACGCCTTTAACTAAAGGGCAGCAGGTGGCTCAACCGCATCATGCGGTCAGGTATAACCCTGGTACTGGCAGCAGGGACACAAGTTTTGTTCTTGCTTAGGGACTGTTAATTTACATGGAGGGATGATCGAGGAAGATCTAACACCAGAAGGATCCGGCTAAAAGTCGGATTATCCCAGTGCTATATGTTAACATTATTCAGTTTACACATAAATGGTCGTACTTGTGCCTAGTACTAGGATGTTCCTGGTACTAGGAATTTCTAGCTGAAAGGTAGGAGATTCTAGATTCTAGCTTCATGTAAACTGCTGCCTTCGCAAGGAAGATCCTAGTACTAGGCACAAACCACACAAAAATGTCGGCTGGCCGTTTAGGGGCTAATCACAGCGAAAAAGACCACCATTTCGTTTGGCGTTATAACGAGCTAATTATTGTGAAAATTATGCCGAAAGACAGTTATTAACGACAGCAGAGAGAGCAGAAGTTCCAAAATTGCAGTTTTATTTTTGTCGCCCGCCATTTTAAGGTCCTTCTCGATCCTTCTCTGCTTGGGCACCACAGTGAGCGAAATTTCTGCTTTTAAACCCAACGAAAAGTTTTTCTTCTTTCTATTATCTTCCTGGTACTACTGACACCTTTTGCGCATTCATTTGCGTCAAACGACGACCACCAGTGCGAAGACACATTCATTAGCCCGAAAAAACGAACATTTGAGCATAAATCAGATTCAATAACGATTTTTGCATTATAATCAACATTCAATAACATTTTTAGGCATTTATTTGCGTCATTCGACTTATGCCACGGTTTGCAATTCAATACCTGCATTCCTGGACAGCCTTAGGATGGAAAACACAAACATTAGTGCGCTTGTACAATCAATTAAGCGTACTTTACATTTAATATACAAAAATCGATTTTGTATTAAACGATAGAAATCCAAACAAATTTGTTCTGAATTTCAGTCTATTATATCCCTCAATAACCTCCCTATTTAAACAGTTCGGCAGGTAGGTCTGCACGAAACGGTACCCCTTAGCACATTTAGCTGTGGTCACAGTGTCTATGTTCCGACGCAGAACTTCAAAGCGGCTTTTTGCGTTCGAAATTCCCCTAGTGGGATTCCTACGAATTTGGCCTCATTCCTATTATCCATACATCTTTGAATTTCCGGAGGCGAGATGTCGGCTTTGGGTGTCGCTTTCAGACAGCTTAAAACCAACCTGTTCCAAAGATTTTTGGAATTGGTATTGTTTAACTGAAAATTGATTTTTGCATATTAAATGTAAAGAATGCTCAAATTTTGATTGTACAAGTACATTAATCTTTGTCTTATCCACCCTAAGGCCGTCCATGTAGGAATGCTATTGAATTTCAAACAGTGTCATAAAAATAATTTTAATAAATACTGTTTGCACTTAAATGTTTGTCTATTGTCCCTATTGACGTTCAAGATAGTCTTAATGACTTGGATGTTGGCGTTAATGAAAGTATATTTTTCTAGTTTGATTGCCAAATGACGCATATGAATTCCGAAAATGTTATTGAATATTGATTAAACTGCAAAAATCGTTATTGAGTCTGACTTATGCTCAAATGTTCGTTTTTATTTATTTATTTACTTTATTTTTTTTTTTTTTTGCGCTACTGAATGTATGTATCTTCGCACTATTAGTCGCCGTTTCACGCAAATGAATGCGTATTTTCTCTTAAAGGACAGCAAAGGCGTAGTACTATGCTTCCTCCATGTAAACATTTCCTTAGACATTTCTATTATCAGATGTATCGCAAAAACAGAGAAACAGACCAGGTAAACGAGCGTGCGCATGCTTGTAACTAACGGTTTTCATTCTTGATAATGACGTTAGAAATATCAAAAAGTTGTTTAACGTTCTTCAGTTTATCTTCTTATTATTCTTCTTATTCTTGTTCTTCTTGTTCTTGTTCTTCTTGTTTTTGCGTATTACAGGAAAAACATGCAGTGAAATTAAACTTTACAGTCCACAAGCCACAAGCGGCTCTTATGTTATCGACCCTGATGGAGAAGGAGGCTACGAACCTTTCACAGTCCATTGTGACATGACTGACAAGAACGGAGTCGGAGTGACAGTTGTTGGGCATGACAGTGAAACCAGGACTTTTGTTAATGGTTATCAAGGCAAGGGAAGCTACGTGCGTAATGTCCATTATCTTGGATCAGGCATCACTAGTGTTCCACAGTTGGCTGGTCTTCTGGACATGTCTTCAAATTGCGAGCAATTTATTAAGTATGAATGCTATCATTCTGTCCTCCTGTATACGGGCAGCTCCTATGGCTGGTGGGTATCACGTGACTTGGTAAAAATGACATACTGGGGTGGAGCCTCCCCGTCTGACTCGTACAAGTGCGCATGCGGGGTGTTGAATTCCTGTGCAGACAGCAGCCTCGGCTGCAATTGTGATATAAATGATTACGCATGGCGTGAAGACAGCGGTCTCCTTACAGAAAAGTCCCACCTCCCTGTTTTGCAATTGAAATTCGGGGATACAGATGGATCCAGCGAAAAAGGTTACCACACGCTGGGAAAACTGAAGTGTTACGGAATGGCTTGA